GGGGGGGGGGGGGGGGGGAGGGGTAGAGGACTATCAACGGAAAACCTCGGCGTGCAAACTCGTTAGTCGCTGGTGGTGGCCGCTCTTGCGTATTTTCAAATCGTTTGGGGGAAACCAATTAACTGTTTTCCTGTTATCTATTCCATTTGTTTTTCCATACTGGTTTCATTCGGGGAAAAGCCTGTTTTTAATAGATCGAGAGATGCGGAGAATAGGGAACTGCACGATTTTTCCTTAAATTTTTTTATTCGTTGTTATAAGTTTAATATAGAACTTTTTTTTATTGATGATTGATCAATCGCTGATAACGTCACTATCTCGCAATTATTTTCTGAGCTGACCTAGCCTATTTACACATGCGGTTCTGTGACGTAATAATCTGAAAATGGTTCAATAGAGAAATTATTATAAATCACTTGACCAATCACCGGAATAGAGAAAGAAAATTTAGTAGCAAGAAAAATATTTTTATCGTCACGAGTAATAGTGGAACGAATTATCCGTGGATATTGCTGACTAGTGGCCGTTTAATCCCCAGGCGACACGGAAACCTCATCGTGTGAGCCAGCAATGTAAACATTGACAGGGAAATATGTCCCCTGGATGCATTCACGACGAAAACCCTTGTTTTTTCAATGGGTTATACGTTACTATCACTCATCCGCCTCTCAAGAGCCCCATTATCCCCGGATTCACTCCAAAAACACTCTGATACCCCAGTCAATTAAGGAACAATCCACCGCATTATCATAAACCACGCGGAACTCCCAAGAAAATCATCATCCGAGATTCATGAGAATCAAATAATTTTCCCGATTATTATATTACCCGAAATGTCAACACAGAAGCTAAACTCACCCGGTCTCAATCCATCTCCTGTATGTACAGAGGGTTGGAATGGATCCCGGGGAAATGGAAGAATGTTAGTCGGCTCTCTCCGATGTTGTTTAGTCTGAAAATACGTCATTGTTTCAGTACGATAAAAAATTCAGCGCCCGGGTAATTACACTCCGGGAGAGAGAGAGGTGGAAGACAGAGGAATAGATCGATTGGACCCGCGCTGTTATCCCGGGGGCTGAATTTTTCACTGGGCTACTGACTTAGGGCCACGGCTGCTCTTCAAATCCATCGTATTTTCGAATTAAAGAATTTAACTGTAATGCATAATTTTAATATCATGCCTCGGGCAATCCGGCATATATTTACATTGTGGAATTGTTGTTTCGAATTGTAAATGAAAGCCACAATGTAGGAAATATACCATGAAATACAACTATATGGCATTTAAATAATAGTAAATATATGCTAAACTATTTAAAATTTTCCCATTTCTGCATATGAATCACGTATGAAGATTCCAGACCTATTTGTCAGGATGCATAATAGTTATGAAGTCTTCATCATAATGATATTCAATACGTTTCATTTGACAACCTCAGAGTAGGTGAGACTCCGTGTAAAAATTCAAGCGGGGATGCGGTCGAAGCGCTCCTCACGCGCCACCTCCCTAGCTTGACGGCATAGCAAGTGAGACTCCTCGCTGAATTTAAGCATATTACTAAACGGAAAAAACAACTAAAATTTCATTACCATAAATTTCGAAGTCGTCTTCCTCACCTATTAAAAATATATATTAAATATATTTTTACCCAGACCAATCCCACACGTCGAAAACTATCCCACACACCCCTACCTCCACCATAATCCCGTATAAACATTTCTCAAAGCCCAAAAGACGAAAACACTTTAAAGAAATATAAAAAAAACCCCGAGAATAATAAAGAAATCGCTCGTGCGTAGCAATTGAAAATCTTCGTCTCTTCCCCAAAACCATAGTTTCCGTCTCGTGGTTTCATGATGGCTGTGTATCCCTGAAAGGCAAATAATCCTTCGTGGTATTGAGACGAAAACATAATATAGAAAAAAAAATACACGGAAGCAAGCCACAGATCTGCCGAGTGAGACAAATTCCCTTCATCTATCCTACGAGGGAGATGGAGATCATTCTGAAAAAGGTAAAGGCGAGTGCTGTTTGCCTTTTATTAAACTGTTGTTAAACGCTGCCTTTCTTCATACACAATTGAATCGGCAAAACGCCGGAGATAATGCCACTGGGATTCTCAGCCCCCCTTCCCCCCCTCTCTCTCTACCTCCTCTCCAGAGAATCTTAGTCTCTATTGTGGATGGGATATGTCTCCCTCCAGCCAGTTATTCCCAGCCTGAAATGGACACCGTGTAATCGCTCTTTTATACGGTGTTGGTTTTACCTGCAGAAATACGAAAAAAGGAGGCATATTGCCCTCTGTGACTGCTTCCAGGGTCCAGGAACACCCCCTGATGCGAGGGGAATTGCCCGGTTGCTTATTCAAAATTTCAGACATTTGAGGAGAAATGTTTTGGGGGAGTGTTGTATTCAGTAATTCTCATGCCCAATGAAAATATTTGGATGGTTTACGGGTGAGAGCTACGCCCCATGTTTTCAACGGTGAAATTCATACTTGTTATGTTCATTCAGTTATTCTCAATGCATCTGACATTTTAAGAGTTCTCGGAGAGGAAAATTTCATGGTAAACGGAGGATCGGAAATTATCTTCTAAGAGATTTCATGAGACTTGGTTTATTCTCGGTGATTTTTTAAAATTCGTAGTTCTTTTTGATTCGTATTGTTGTGAAAATCGAAGATGAGATGATGTAAAGCACTGGTGTGATGGGTTAGTAATAAAAGAAAACTTGTATTTTTAGGTATATTTCCATGGATAAAGGGCTTGTACAAAATTTACAAATTAATTTGACATGCAGTAACTCATGCTTTGGTTTATTTGTACATTTCGGAGTATAACATGAACGAGTTTTTGGATTTATCTGACCATTATTCCACTTCAATTCATTACTTTATTTGTTCTAATTCACGAATGATTGACAATAACGACTAATAAATATGATGTTATTTATTTCATTGCTTGAGTTATCCAAAAAGTGTAGAAGGATTCACTTCTCAGGGATATGGATCTTTTTTTAATGCGTATTGAATACTAAGGATTCCGCAGTGATATGGAACGAATAATCTCGTGAATAATGTTCACAAATCAATATTGATAATTGCGAAAAATTATATTTCATCCACTCACACGCTCTCTTCATACAAAAATACTCTTCCCATCGAATAAGTACATTATTGTTGTACGTATTACAATGGTATCAACATGAATTTATAATTGATTTTCATCATCTGAGTGATAACATTACGTTTTATTAATGACTAACTGCTTGACATGACTCATGATTGGGAATTTTTTAATGAAAAAAAAAAAAAAAATAACATGATTTTAACAAAACATTTTAGTTTGTTGGAAAATATTCGTAGAAAAATTGTTTCAAAGTTCGTATCAAATATCTGTTTTCACATATTATTCATCCACTTTATTGAGTCCCATATTTTCTCCACTGCGGTGAGATTTCTAATTAATCCACTATCTAAAAACAAGATTGCATTTCTTTAGAAAAGAATAATTTCCAGACTTTTTTTTAATCAGAGGCTCCTATTTTCTATTTTCTCATTACGTTGAGCGATACGAATTCTACAACTACGCCTAAATACTATAACTGAGGGGATTCATGATCGACCGCAGTCGTTTTGACGCAAAATCTAAAAAAATAAACTCTCGAGGCCCATGGGCACGTGAAAATAAATTCGTTAATTATTTCAGTCCCAATAAGACCCGCTCTTGGGTGCATCGATGGAAAGGAAAAGATTGAAGATTGTTTCAACAGCAGTCTCTTAAATCCACTCACACTCTAAACACTCATATTAAGGAATAACTCGTAACATCTATCGGGATTCTGATTCCACATGACGACAATTAGGAAGCGAGGGATTGTGGCTCGGTGAAGGACATCTCCATTGTGATTCCACCACTGCTACGTCTGTACCTGTGTGATATCTCATTGTTCGTACTTCTCGGCTTGCGTCTGCTCAAGTGTCGTTCAACCCATTTTAACATTGTTAGGACTGAATCTGTACTTGGCAGTCTTCTTTCAGCTGAGGTACGGATTATGTGGGATGATGCTACTCGGAAAGTCGCTGCCATACCTTTCAATGCCTGAACAAAAAAAATTTCATCCATTTTTCAAATTCATTACATTTTATAATTAATTGTTGTTCACCCGAAGATTTTTTTCATTCATATTTCTTTTTGATTTGTATTGCTCCGAAACCATGTAAAAAAAAATTCTTCAAATTTTGCCTGCAATGCTCTTTTTTTTTCTCAAAAAATGAGGAAAAAAATTTTTTTTTGATTCGTAGTTCTTTTTGATTTGTATTGCTTCGAAACCATGTAAAAAAAATTCTTCAAATTTTGCCTGCAATGGTCATGTTTTCCTTAAAAAATGAGGAATAAATTTTTTTTTTGATTCGTAGTTCTTTTTGATTCGTATTGCTTCGAAACCATGTAAAAAAAATTCTTCAAATTTTTCCTGCAATGCTCATTTTTTTTCTCAAAAAATGAGGAAAATTTTTTTTTTTGATTCGTAGTTCTTTTTGATTCGTATTGCTTCGAAACCATGTAAAAAAAAATTCTTCACATTTTACCTGCAATGCTCAGTTTTTCCTCAAAAAATGAGGAAAAAAAATGTTTTTTTTGATTCGTAGTTCTTTTTGATTCGTATCGCTTCGAAAACTCAGAAATCCTCTGATTACCTTCATAGCATCCTCATCAGTGACATCATCCCCAGCATATATAATTCTGATCCTCTCGCTCCAGTCCAATCCAAAAGCGGTTCGTAAAATATAAATAGACGCCCGTCCCTTGTTCCACTCGACCGGTGGCTTGGCTTCCAGGGCGCAATGTGCAGGACAGGGTTTGAAGCCTGCCTCCTCAATCAGTCTCTTAGCGTGTTCAATCATCTTCGGTCTGCCCTCCATAGGTGTCTCTCGATAATGGAAGGTAAGGAGAGCCCCCTTGTTCTCCACCCAAGCGCCATCCTTGCACAGCTGAAAGAACCGTTGTATTTTAGAATAATATCTAGAGCTTTGTTTTGCACACATACTAAAACCAGTCGGCCTATCTTACTACCTGGTCCTGCAGTGCTTGCATGAGACTGCCAACTTTGCCCTCAAGTTCCGCCGGCATGGGATGAACAAACTTACTCCCGTCAGGATGGAGAATCTCCAGACCATGATTACCCGCGTAGGTAATCCCCTCGATTCCCACCATACTCTTGACATTACTGACATTCCTCCCGGAGACAATGGCAATGTAAACATCGGACATGTTGCTCAACCTCTGAAGAACATTCTTGGTCTCCAACGGAAGTATAGCAAGATCCGGATGGGTGGCAATTGGCGCCAATGTACCATCGTAATCAAGTAGCAATGCCAATTTGTGATTGTCACCGATGTACCTGGGGGACATGTATCGTCAATTGACCGTTACTCGGCTTTCGTCCATGATTCGGGTTATCGACTAGTCGTGGGAACACTCGTCAACAAGATACATTCAATGAAAAATGTACTTTTTTTACATCTTGATATCTGCATTCTCATTAATAAGCATCGTAATCATAGATTTTTGTTCATTCATTGTGTAGCCAGCCGTTAATTATAAGCGACATTGTTATCGGACCCCCACGTCATTGTCGTACCCGAGTCATGCTTGACACGATTGTGCAACGTATTTGTTCGTAGACGAGATCAAAAGAGAAAGAGATAACGGCTATCTTGTTATTTTTTCTCTCATGCATGTTTTTGTATTCATGCATCCTTTAGGAAGAATCGCCCAGATTATGCACCCATTGCGCATTGGATATTTACTTGCTTAAGTAATCGTCAAAGTCGTCCATGGTGACTGGCTGCATTACTGTCGCGCCGACTGAGTCCCTCTCCTCCAGGGAGCCCATCACCTGGAGGAAGGACTTCATCCAGTAGTTGACGTCGTAGAGACGCTCCCGACGTCTCAGGTGGTTCATTCGGAGGGTGCGCTCGTCTTCCGGCATTGTCAGGGCTCTGAAAAACCAGAACGATCGAGTAAGATTGCTCAGAAATTTGGGCGGAAGCAAACTTGCAAGTTGTTTTCATTCATTATCTGTCTCAAGCTATCGTTATTTCGAATCTACCTCTTTTTAACAATGGACAATTCATCATTCCATTTTATTACAGGACAATTCATCACAGCTCATCTCATCATCCGACAAATTCATCATGTGGACAATTCATCACGCGAACATTTCATCACACGGACAATTCAATAAGGAGTGAAAAAGAGATTCTAAATTATAGACTAATGGAGGGGGAAGAGGGGGAAAAGGGAAATAAGTACTGATAAGAGAGGGGAAAAAATAGAAGTTCGAACGGAAAGCATAGAGAGCGTATAAGAGACTCCAAATTGTGTACAAAAGGAAATAACAAAGGCTCTTGTGTACAAAAACAAATAACTGTTCATATTAAAAATCATGATTACTACTAATTTTACGTTGCCACAACAATGAGAATAACGCCAATGATGGAGAGGTCTACAACATAAAAAGATACTAAAAATAAAGAAGAATAATTGTATTTAGCAAAAAAAGGAAAAACGACAAACGAAAAATGATGAAATGTCCACATGATAAATTGTCCCAATGATGAATTGTCCCTATAACAAATTATCAATAATGGCATGTCCCCATAATGAAAATTAATTGTCCAATAACATCACTATCCCGTAATAAGGAGAGGTGTTACCCGTTATTTCACATCTTGAAAGCATGGTAATGGCTCCCACACCCAGAAAAATTATTTATTTGACTCAAATAAAGTGTATTTGATGTTTTTTCTTTTCAATAAAGTGTACTTGAATCAAATAAATAAGTTCATTTAAATAATCCCAAATAAAGTTTTTTTTCAAATTGAGTAAAAAAAATGATTCAAAGTTTTGTTTATATTAAATAAATGTTTTTTTTACTAATAATGAATCTTTATTTGAATCAAATAAATTTTTTTTTGAACTGAATAAATATTTATTTGATACTAAAAAATTATTATCACTTTGAGTTGGTAATAAAATCGGAAAAGATTGAACGAAAACCATGCAATAATTATTAGGGGTAAGACTTTAGGGGGGGGGGTTCTTGGATTAGGTTCATACGCCCTTTTTTCACATAACCTATGAATATTGTTGAAACACACTTTCAAAATTCTTCCACAAAATACATGAAAATGTGATTTTATTAAAATAAGCAACCTATTTATTTGAACTAAATAAATTGTTTATTTGATCAAGTCTCTTCGTCCTTGAATGATTATTATGTATCATCACCTTCGTCACTGAATTTCATTGCCATATACGTTTAGTTAAATCTGATTTGGTATCTCCATCATGATTACAGTTATGCTGTAATTAATTATATATCTTAATGATATTTTTGACCCTATAATTGGCCTCGAGCTATTGGGTCTGTATAAAGCAATAAATAAATAAAATAAATAAATTTGAAAAAATCGTCGATTTGAGATAAATAAATTGTTTTTTTCAAATTTACTAAAAATTTCATTTGGAATAGATAAATTGTTTGTTTAATACAATTAAATACTTTTTCTCGGAACAAGTAAACAAGTTTATTCATTTCTAATAAAGATATTCTTGAAGTGAGTAAAAAATTTCAGATAAAGATTGTTATTTCATAAAAAAAAACATTCTTCTGGCTGCATATTACGGAAGTTTCTTACCTATGGATGACCTCAGCAGCATCATCGATCTCATAAGGATTACAGATAAGTGCCTCGTGCATCATCTCCCCGGCCCCAGCGAAGGGGGACACAATTAGCACCCCAGGTGGTGTATTGATCTGACAAGCGACAAACTCTTTGGCCACAAGATTCATACCGTCCCTCAACGGCGTCACAAGAGCCACCGCTGCGTCCCTGTAGAAAGCGGCAAGCTCGTCCTGGCTGACGCACCCGTAGATGTACCTGATGGGGGACCAATTCGGTGTGGTGAACCTGCCGTTGATGGAGCCGATCAGCTGGTCCATCTCCAGTTTGAGCTCCTGATACTCCCGGACATCGGTCCTGGAGGGCACAGCGATCTGGAGCATGGTGACCTGCTCCCGATGCTCGGGATGTTTCTCCAGCAGCATCTCGAAGGCCTTCAGCCGATGGACGAGGCCCTTGGTGTAGTCCAGCCGATCAACCCCCAGAACAATCTTCTGATTTGTCATGATGACTTTGGGCGCCTGCTCAGCCAGAGACACGAATCTGTCGAAGGGAATGCCGATGGGAAGGGGTCGAACCCTGACAGTTCTGCCGCCGTGATCGACCAGAAGATTCTTCCTGTCGACTCGACAACCGAGACACCTCTGACAGCAGTCAACGAAGTTAAGACAGTAGTCCTGGATGTGGAAGCCCACCATGTCACAGCCCAGCATTCCCTGTAGGATCTCGTCCGCCCATGGGAACAGCCGGAAGATGTCCCAGGGTGGGAAGGGAATGTGGAGGAAGAAGCCGAGCTTCAGTTTGAGGTCCTTCTCGTCGGCGGCTTGTCTTATCCAGTTGGCTGCCAGCATGAGGTGGTAGTCGTGAACCCAGACCAAAGGTGTGCCGTTCGTCTGCTTGGTTTGCTCCTCGTGGACCTTCTCCAGAGCGCGGACTGTCTTCGCTGCGAACTCCTTGTTGACGGCCACGTAGGCACGCCAATGCTCCGCGATGAAGGTCGCGCGGTCCGGCATCGAGTGGAACAGCGGCCAGAAGGTACCGTTGCAGCAGCCATTGTAGTAAGCGTCGAAAATGTCCGGCTCTACGTGCACCGCTACCACCTGAAGGTTATGTGCATCGTTATTACGAGCTGATGCGAACAGATTTGCTAGGACCCTAAATAATGATTTTGGTGATTGCTCGTTGGCTCAAGTGATGATGTTCAACGGGGGAATGCGTTGCACTTACGCAATGGATTTTATTTTTTCCTGCAACTGTGAGAAATCATTGACACGGGGGATTCCCCGTTTTTCATAGATAAATGCCGACATTGTTTTTCGCATGAAATTTATCTAATTGCCAATTACCGAAGCCAATAATAATCATGATTTATGCATTCCCATGAGTCGCATGACCCCCCATGTCTTCGAGTAACCTCAGTCTCAACATTGTTTATTGATAATCAGTCATTATCGGGGATTTAATATCGCAAGGAACGCGTTTATTGGCTGGGGAATACGATCAGCGGGCTCGACCACTCGGTGCTCCCTCACGCTGTAACTTCTTCTTGTTATTCATTATACATCTTCATAAATATGTCAAAGATTGGGTGAATCAGGTCGCCATAATAAGACATTGGGAGATTAATGGAATACATTCGAGTGCTTTTTTTTATGAAATCATTAATGCAGAAATAATTATTTTTCAATTTATCGAATTCACGATGTTACGGGCTTATTCTTCTGAGAAATGAAAATCTATCTTCTACATAACGCATCTGCAATCACCCAGCCGTCTTCTTTGATAAATAATCTTGACCCAAATAAATAATCAAACATTTGGCTTTCTCGGGCCTTATCAGGCTCATTCAAATTTTTTTCTCTCGCTCTCTTCTGTACGGGTTTCTCAATCTCGCTGACTAAAAGCCCTTACAACACTCCGTTCCAATCAAAGAAATAGCTGAGATAACTTCAGGATTACGATTTTCGATAATCGTTTCTTGTTTTTTAAACGAAAAAAATTATTCTTTTCCGATTCGTAGTTCTTTTTGATTCGTAGTGCTTTGAAAATTTGTACAAAAAACGGACCTTTAAATGTTTGTAATGTTTTTCTCTTCAGAAAATTGGAAAGACAATTTTTTTTTTGATTCGTATTTCTTTTTGATTCGTATTGCTTTGAAAAGGTAAAAAGGGTCAACTGTTGAAAGAAGAGATATAAATTCTTCCACTTCGCACTTATTTCTAAATCTCGTGAACTAGGGGGTCCTTTCAACATTCAAATTTAATCAAAATAGCTGCGACAATTTCAGGATTATGATATTGAATAAGTAAGTTCGAAAGATACGTCCATCACAAATCGACCGATAACCCAGACCTCTACCCCTGATTATTTGAATACGTGGTCTCCTGACAGGTCAGCGAAAACGTTTAAATGCGGATTGATACGAAATAATATCACACTATATTCACGTCTAAACAATTTTAACAGCGGGAATTGACGAAGGTCAGAGCTGTGAACTATTCGCTGTCAATATTGTTGAGTCTGTCGTGTTATCTGACTGATGGGCTATGACTGGGTTTTTTCGAATCGAGTGTGATTCATCGGGTAAATGTTGCCATGGAGCTGGATGTTGTGAATGGAATCGGAATATTCCGGGAGGTGTTTCTGATATTGGATATATCTGATGTTTACCGATACGAAAATAGGTGGGTTCATTGTCAAGGGTATGCAACTGCGTCGGTATTGTTTATAGCGAAGGTGAGATTGTCTTGAAATGTGTTAATCAGTAGTAATTGAATTGGCGATGATTCGCTGCGAGGGGATATGGAGTGAATTTTTTTGTCGTAATGAAAAGTCTATGGATTTTAGATTTTTTGAGAATACTATGTGTCATATAATTAGTTTTAAAGTAGTCCTGGGACTTTCCTAAATCTCAGGATTTCACAAAGTCCTTATCAATTTTACGTTGAACAGAAAAAATTGTTTTGCAATTTTTGAAAATGCAAAATCCATTTTTTTCTTAAATTCTAGCACTTTATTAAATCCTACTAAGTTCTACTCAGTCTCAGGACTTCGTTGAGTCCTAGGATTTCATCAAGTCCTAGGATTTCACAAATTCCTGACTTCACTAGGTCGCAAGAATTCATCAGTCCCAGGAATTTGCTAAGGCTTAGAATTTTACAAAGTCTTGGTTAATTTTGCATTAAAAAAATACAAAATTCCAATTTTTCCGACACATTATAAATTATAAATTCAATAACCGACAAAGATGCCTCACAAAGTCCTAGGAGTTCGCAAATTCCTATGACTTCACTAGGTCGCAGGAATTCATCAAGTCCTAGGACTTCATTGAATCCTAGGATTTTATTCCATCGTAGGACTTCACTAAGTCCCAGGAATTTGCTAAGGCTCAGGATTTCACAAAGTCCTGGTTAATTTTGCATTAAAAAAATACAAAATTCCCATTTTCCCGACAAATTATCAATTATGAATTCAATAACAGACCAAAGATGTCTCACAAAGTCCTATAATCTCACTAAGTCTCAGGATTTCGCAAATTCCTACGACTAGGTCCCAGGAATTCATCAAGTCCTAGGACTTCATTGAATCCTAGAATTTTATTCCATAATAGGACTTCACTAAGTCCCAGGAATTTGCTAAGGCTTAGGATTTCACAAAGTCCTGGTTAATTTTGCATTAAAAAAATACAAAATTCCAATTTGTCCGACACATTATAAATTATAAATTCAATACCCGATCAAAGATGCCTCACAAAGTCCTATGAGCTCACCAAGTCCTAGGATTTCGCCAAGTCCTAGTTAGTTTTCAATTTAAAAAAAAATACAAAATTCATATTTTTCCGATATATTTCTAACTGTAACTTTAATAACAGACCAGAGATGCCTCACCTTGCTCGACAGCAATCCAGCAGTTGGCGTCTTGTCATTAGGGTCAGACTCCGGAATAGGTTCATTCGGATTATCCATGTGCACACCCGGCCATCCCACCCACAGGCCATTCCCACTTATTACTACCGGTGCAACAGCAGTAACAAGCCCGCCAGCACTAGAAAAATACCCCAAGAAAATCGTCTAATCAAGATCACATTCACAAAAAAATTTCACAAAAAAAAACAAAAACACGAAATTAATCTGACTGAGAGAAATTATCAGTTCAACTTTGATCGCTTTTCCCTCGAAAATGAAATCCATAAATTTTCATTCGTAAATGCCCCAATAAAGAGATAAGCAGAACCTACGTTAACACGTAATCAGACTCAATTGTCGGTAAACATGTCTCTTTTTTATTTATTCGTTGCGCTCTTTTAATGAAAAACAAACACGGAAAAAAAATTATCTACTTGATTGTGAGTCACGTGGCCGGTTTTATTATGGATATTATATTTTTCCTTCGTTTTTGTTATTTGTTTACCCGAAGTTGTGAGAGAGATCTTTTGTGAATGAAGATCAACATTTAATATTCCGATAACCGCGTGCCCCCTTGATCAACATGTTTTCCATCTATTTTCCATAATACTACGAATCAATTATTCAAAACACGAGATGGAAACAAAACGTCTGCATAACGACTGCTGCATTCAAGGCAATTCCCATTGACATGCTGTCAAATAATGATACTTGAACATATAGAAACAATTTTTCTTTTATTTTTATTTTTTTATTTTTTTTTCTTATTCATATTTCTTTCCTACTACCATTACGGTTTTATAGGCTCCCCATTCGTCTGCCTTGCCTCTCCCACTTCTCTCTTCACACATGGAAACTAAAAAAATTATAATTTGACAATGCAATGATGAATATTGCTCACCTTGCTTTGCGTTCCAACTGTCCCGAATCTTCATTTCTCTTCAGTACGAAGGGTAACCTGTTGCTCACGACAATCATACTTCCGTTGGAAGTGTACGTCCGTGTTTCTGAAGACATTTTGCAAAAGCCAAAATTAATGTCTCTATTGAAATAAAATTCCAGTGGCCAAGTTTCCCTCAACACCATAAATAATCGGTTAATTGAAAAAAAAAATCACTGATTCCGCTGTTTCTGGCTCGGCTAAAGATCCATGATTTCGCCTATATTCTCTCGTTCACCTCAACCAAAAATGTTAGTCTCGATAGGGGGATGATTCCAGCAGATAGAATCGTCGAGATAATTGGAATGTGTGACAAAGGATGCCGGAGAGCCAGAGTAACACTGAAGTAGAAGCGTCTCAGTGCCTTAAGTTTATTCGTTTCAACTCGTACCAACGATTTGGTCCAAAGTGCGTTTTTGCGGGGACTCGGTATCGAAAAGACCGGAGGCCACGACCCCATATGCCCATCCATCGTCAATTGCCCCCCTCTCGCCCCCCTCTACCGCTCTCTATCCTCTATTTACCCTCGTAATGTAACACCCCCGCATTCCCTTACGATATGACCTCGCGCGGGGTTATCGATATCACTTTAATTTCACGATGATAATGGGAAAAATGAATAATAGTAGAAAAATTAATCATATGCTTTCGCGGCGAAGAGGAAAGCCAGTGGATGTTATGAGGAAATTTCATTTTATTGGTGGCGAAAGGTCGTATGTACCGAAATAGTCATTGAAAAAATTTTTAATAACATCGCAAAGTACATCTAGACACTTGGGGTGTGATTTTTTTAGTTTTAATAGATCATAATGGGACTTGGTGAAGTCTTGGGATTTGGTAACGCCCTAGGACTTTGTGAAATCCTAGGACTCACTAAAGTCCTAAAATTTCAAAAAAAATTAGGCCTGGAATTCCAGGACTTGATGAAGTCCTGGGACTTAGTAAAGTCCCAGCACTTATTAAAGTCCTGTGACTGTAGAATTCAAGGGCTTGGTGAATTCTAGAACTTCATAAAATCCTGAAATTCTAGGATTTACTGAAGTTCTAAATTTTTTTGAACTTTTCGGACTGAAATTCCAGGACTCGATGAAGTCCCAGCACTTATCAAAGTCCTGTAACTGTAGAATTCTAGGGTTTGGTGCATTCTAGGACTTCGTAAAATACTAGAATTTACTGACGTCCTAAAATTATTTGAAATTTTAGCACTGACATTCGAGGACTTGATAAAGTCCTGTGACTGTAGAATTCCAGGACTTCTTAAAATCCTGAAATCCTAGGACTTACTTAAGTCCTAAAATTTGTTGAAATATTCTGACTGAAATTCCAGGACTCAGTAAAGTCCCAGGAGTTGATAAAGTCCTGTGATTTTGTGGAATTCTAGGGCTTGGTGAATTCTCGGAGTTCGTAAAATCCTAGAATTTACTGACGTCCTAAAATTCTTTGAAATTTTAGGACTGACATTCAAGGACTTGATGAAGTCCTGGGATTTGAGAAAATCTCTGACTTTGCAGAATTCTGAGACTTCCTAAAATCCTGAAATCAAGAACCTAAATTCCAGGACTTCAATAAAAATTAATGATCAGAACCTTAAAAATCGGATTTGTTTACGTTTTTTTTTTATTTAACTAACACGAAAATTCCAGATATATCCCGTGTAAACCGGTATTCCATTGGACACGTCATCGTGAAAATATCACGCATTGAGAAAGCATTCCAGTGTGCGTTATTATTTATAGTGCCTTCATTGCACATTGACGGGATTATCGTCGGCGAATTAAAAATATAAAACCCCAAACGATTTGTTGTATTGACTTTAGCGGGTAAAAGATGAATTACAGTTTGTCCTTGGAAATTGCTGTGATGTTGAAGATGCATCAGCAATGTTTTGGCACGATATCAGCACATGCTCGCTTCATGTTTAATTTTGCTCGTTTCTATTACTCACCAATTCTTGGAGATTAAATAGTTGAGATATGAGTTACGACGGGATATTCATTGTTTTATGAATTTATTGTGGGAATTCACCTGTCTGCAACGGCAAATGAATTCTGAAAAATTCCACTGGATCGTTTTATCGACATCAACAGTCCAGTCAATTATTTGCTTTATTTCCCCGAAAATAAAGACTGGCCGCAGTGATATAATCTTGATTAACCGAAGCCATCAAATTATGACGCTCAAATGATTGTGTCACTACACGGATCTACGATCACTCTCTCACCATGTGATGATAAATTCTAATATTTGTAGATATCACATTGTCAAGAAATTTCCACTGGTAAAAAAATTTCTTCAGACGTAATAGCGCAATCTTTGTAGGAAGAGGCGTTTAACTATATTAATGACCTTATTCCTTGAATCCACGTGTTAAACTTGACATTTTGTATCCCCTAACGGATCACGTGCTAATTGAGGCATTTGAGGGCGCATGTTATCACGAATGCGCAATACAAAATAACCGGAACCTTTATCCACCCAACTTTCCTCAATATTTATAGCCACGCTGTCTCATCGCGGATTGATAAGTTTCCTCATATCTTAATTCACCTTCTGAGAAGGCAATCCTGAGATATCCTCACATCCACTGTTTATGCTCTCGCTAATACTCTCGTTTCTTTCGGATTACTTGATAAATGTATTGACAATTGGGGTCAATTGTGCATGACGTTAAATTTTTTTTTGTCATCGTTGAATAGAAAATCTTGGCCGATGGGATTAGTGAGGATTAACGAAACGTAATTAAAACGGAGGGGAATGGTAATGTGTGAGTCATCGCCGGAATAGGAACCCCCCGACTGGCGATGCTGCTGTTTTTTTTTTAATAATACATGCGGGTTTTTAAATAATAACTGTGGGTCGTTAATGAGTCAACGGTTATTGATTTCTGAATCTCAAGGTGAGGGTCCCGAGGCGTTGTCATGCAACAGAACGGGGCGATGACACCTTTTCGTCGGAAATTTCTAAATGCCTGTGGAATATAGAATACGTCCGAGAAATACTGAAAGCCGGCCATCAATCGCATGCATTCGTCATTGATGACAATTAATTTATCGGGGATTGACAGCAAATGTTAGTGAGATTTTGACGGATTTATTATCCAGATTATTTACGTCAATAGAGAAGTAGCCTTGCCTGTTACGCAACCGCTTATGAATTGAAATTTTCCGGCCTGTGCGGCTGTTTGGGATTCTGCAGCTGGGTGATACACCGAGAGTGGGTGACGATCACGTGTCTATCACGGGGGGAAAATTCTGGGTTTTTTTCACTTGAATCTCGTCGCGAAGACGGGGTAATACTGAACGCGTAATACTGTTTGAGGTTGCCGGTTACGTTGGGTGGAATCCTTTGAGAAGCTTCCGGGTTTTTCGATGTGAAAACACATCGTGGTGAGGCACTTGCTCAGGTAGCGCCCTCGTTGGGTGCGAGCTGCATTGTTCGCTGCGATTGCGCAATGAATGTGCAGGGGAATACATGCGTTTCTGTGGGCAATTGATTGCTATGTCCATGGTGTTGAGGGTGTTTAGACGCACGGAGAGAAATATTCAGTAAAAATGACGTATTTTTTCAGTAATTCCGGAGCGAAATGTGGTTATTAAATTTTACGCAACTGTCACGGACTTTTTCCGGAGCGTTCCGTAATTTTTATCTGAATCTCCTGTGAAAAATTACGATACCGTCATTTAAATCAGTAGTGAAGCGGTAAACCGAGTGAAGTCGATTTTGACTATTAGCCAGTTTTTGCTGAATATCTCGGAATCTAAGAGAGATAGCAAAATTTTTCTCATGACTTTTTTTATAACGCTCTATTGGCTCTACAAAAAAGGTCATGACAAAAATCTTTCTATCTCTTTTAGATTCCGAGATATTCGTCAAAAACTAGCCGATAGTAAAAATCGACTTGACCCGGTTTACCGCTTCGCTACTGAAATTTTCTGAGTCGATTCCGTAATCGGTGAGTGAATTCTGAGTTCCGTAATTTTTACTGAACATTTCTCTCCGTGCGGGTTTTGAAAAACGAAGTTTTTCGTGTTCGAGGGGAATTCTGTAATTTTTTTTTAGACTGGTGGGAGAAGATGAGAAATTGAATAGAAGTGTTCGCAAATATATTGATTCCTTCTTAAACTCCTCAGGATTGAATATTTGAAGTAAGCTGTAGCGTAACGCTCATTCCTCGAATTTCGGTGGTCGAATATTCGGATCCGCCCGCACGTGTTCGACTTCGGTCGGCTCCCGGTTTTTGTGTCACGATTTGAAATCTTTAACACGCGCTCAAGCGCGCGATCGTTCTCGTGGTGTAAATCGTTACGAATAGTACCTAAAGAATTATTTTGTAAACACATTTGTATTTTTGTAATTTTTTTATGGCAGAATACACTACATGGTTTGAATGCTCGAATAAAAAAAATGGGAAAGATATTCAGATATTCGTGTATTGTCATTGTCAATATTGTTACGTTTGATGATCTCTTCAGGATAATTTCGGAGAATACACTGAGAGAAAAACAAATACGTCAAACAAGTCTTGTTTGGGCCAGCAAAATCGCAAGTTGAAAATTAACAGAAAAGAATTTGTTTGGTTCGAATTTGAAAGTCTCAATCATGAATAATTGCTCTGCTTTCGACAGCAACGAAATATTTGGCTCAAGAGGCGGATAATTCACACCAGACGGTGCCTTTTCAGGATGAAAATATCTCATATAGAGGAAAATTTATCAACAAATATTTTATCCCTAAGTTACAAGATTGCTATCATATCATTATCATTGTTTCATTTGTTGTCTGTGATTATTAGACAGCCGAAACGAAAAACTACTATTCCTTGTTTCGCATAAAACAAAAAATTTTCGGGAGCAAAATACGTATGGGAGTATCGAAAAACGAAGGAGTAGTGCTAGAAATGACATTTCTTGCCTGTACAGAGAATGCAATTTTTTTAAAACTACTAAATCAGCAGCGAAGCGGTAAACCGGGTTAAGTCGATTTTGACTTTTGGCCATTTTTTGACAAATATCTCGGAATTTAAGAGATATAGCTAAATTTACCTCAAGACCTTTTTTATAACCCTCAGTTGGCTTTACAAATAAGGTCATGACAAAAAATTTTCTATATTTTTTAGATTCCCAGATATTTGTCAAAAACTGGCCAATAGTCAAAATCGACTTAACCCGGTTTACCGCTTCGTTACTGAAATCTATTTTTGCGACAAAAATTTTTCATTCCGGCGCACTCACTGCATGTTTGACACAAAAAAATCCTTTTTTGATCATTTTCAAAATAGTATATTTCGTTACGAGTGCGGAAAAGTGTTTTTTGCTCGCCTTCGGCTCGTGCTATAAACCTCCCACAAGGCAAAAAACACTTTTCCCACGAGTATCGAACGATATTTTTCATCACAATGTGCGGAAAAGGGACGTTTTAGGCACGCGAAGCGTGCCTAAAAACTTACTTTTTCGCACATTGTGATGAAAAAATTTTTTCTTGACACAAGCAAGATTTGGTTGAGAACTAGATTCAGATGACAGTCCTATCTCAACAGGCTTCATAGGCATCCTTCAGATGGTTTATAATTTAGGGATTCGAAAGGAGATACGCAACAATATAATGCATATGGTACATTACTTGCCACGTTCTTTGAAATTTCTGGCTCTATTTCAATTGTTTGCAGGCATTATCAGGGAAAATAAATGGGACTGTCAACAAGGCAATGACTGACAAATGCTATTTATTTTTGTTGATAATAAATGTAAATAACAATCACAATAGAACCAGAATTTTTCCAATTTGTGATCTACAGATCGAGGAATAAATAAAAATAGGAAATTATCGAGAATAAATTCCTGGGGAAAGTTGGAATATGAAGGAAATTTATTGAAAATTAGAACTAAAGACAGGCAGCCATCAGCCCTGCGACATTTTCGAAATCAATTTTTTCGGTGATATTCTTTGTCTTGATATTTTCATCCTGATTAGCGATGAAAATGACATTTTTGCTCTGCTCTTGCCATCCGTATTTCTTCACCCAGTGTTTCAGCGTTGAATCTGAAATATTATAAGACATTGTACTGACAGGATAGAAAAATTCGTTGAGTTGATCATTTTGTATTTTTAACGCGATACGAATAAAAAATCATCACAAATCAATTTTTTTCATTTTTCTATTCTTTGAAAAAAACAGAAATGTCACCCAAAAATTTCAATTTTTTATAAAATTCATTTTCTAAGCAATACGAATCAAAAAGAACTACGAATGGAATTTTTTTCTCCTAGAGGAAAGGAGCGATACCGTGATAAAGATGATTTCCAATATTTCTTTTTCTGAAAATAAGATTTGTTTGGGGATTTGACTATTTACCATCGACGCTGCCGAGCAATTGTGCAAGCAGACTCTTATCAATTGTTTGAAATGTGATACCAACTACGTGACACACGAATTTCCTTATCGAGTCCTGGAAGCCCACGATTTTGTCGCATAGCTCAGACATGGAGATCATTCTGTCCCAGAAGTGTTGGAAGTCACACTGCTCCAGAATATCGCCCAGGTAGATTATCTGGCTGATAGGGTCTTGTTGCATCTGGGGAAAATTTTCAACTTCATCTTTTTCGTTTTCATTTAAATTTCTACACCAAAATAAATAAATCAATCAATAATGAATAATAAACAATGAACAATAAACTTAAATGGCTGATGTATTGTTCATTGTTTCATGCTCATAAAATCGTGAATGTATTCTCATACTCACGATTTTCTCACTCAAAAGACACTTGCAGAGAACGAAATCCGTGTGAGGGAGATTGGTGAGGGCTTTGAGGAGGATTTGACATGTCACATGAATGTCAAACCGTTGGGGATTGAGTTGGTACAGCTTCAGGAGGGCCAGATTGGCCTCGAGATCGTAGGCATTCTCCCTGGCCTGCAGCTCCACGTATTTCTCTAGAGTCGTTAAATTCTCGGGATTGTATCTGTCAATAATTAGTCTCATTAATCAAGGCGAACATAACCTCTGATGTCTCCAGTCCAATCAGTCCAATCAGTCAATTACCTCTCGATGCTCCTCAACATCACTGCGATATTTTGCCTCATAGTCTCAGCCATCTCGTTTACAATCACTGTTGGGGGGCTTAAAAACTCTGGACAATAGAAATTTTCACTGTAAAAATTGCAAAATGCCACTGACTGCTCGGGAAGTCTTGGGGAAAGGTTATGTGTGGCTCTAAAGCGTGGATGAACCCTCTGAAGTTGGCTCACAAGGCTAGGGAATTTTTTGTTCGACAGCCTGAAGTGGCGGCACAATTCAAAATGCGATGGAAGGCTCACAAAATCTGGAAAATTTGCATTTTATTAAGGATGTTCATAAAAAATCGCAAGTACTTTAAAAAATTGATTCTTTTTAAACTGAGAGATGAAGATATTCCCTTCAGTTTGATACAGATTTTAATTTACCAACCCATGTGCATTATTTAGATGTGAAATAGACTAAATGCAGCAAATGCATGCGCTGACATGCGGTTATATGGGATAGAATCATTTAAATATTTCCTCTTTTTGCCCGGGTACCTCGGATTTTTCTCTGGCCATTGGATTCAGTATGATTTTACACATTACCTCCTATTTTTATTTCCATTTTTAGAGTCTTCTAGTAGGTGAATTATCAATTTGAACATAAATTTCATAAGAGCCAGTGTATAAGGAAAAATTTGTTTATTCATTTCTGCCGAGACTATTGCAATTAATTTTTCTTTAACGTTAGAAAAGTTAGTTTATAGGGGAGGTTGGGGTAAAATGGACACTTTTGACTTTTTTTAAAATGTCAATGACGGGTTGAAATGTTGATGAAATTTAATAATTTTTACTTCATTACAAAGAACGATTCTTTCCCTTTGTGATGAGCCTAAACTGAGCTGAATTGATAAATTTGTTTCTGAGTTATGAGTAATTAAAATAAAAGTCTAAAGTGTCCATTTTACCCCACCCTCCCCTATGTTCTGCTGTCAGCCGAAAAAATTACAGAATTTTCCTTGACCATGAAAAAAAACACATTCATCGACAATTCACCGACACTAAACATCCTTAATGAACGTAGGGGAGGGTCGGGTAAAAGGGACACTTTGAACTTTTTTAAAATTATTCATAACTCAGAAACAAATTTATCAATTGAGCTCAGTTTAGGCTCATCACAAAGGGTAGGAATGGTTCTTTGTAATGAAAAAAAAAATTATTAAATTTCATCAACATTTCAACCCCTCATCAACATTTCAAAAAAAGTCAAGTGTCCGTTTTACCCCAACGTCCCCTACTCATTTTCAATAAATGCACATTTGTTCCATTTGACTTTTTATCTAAATATTTAAAATCCCAAAAAAGAAAACTATTTAATTGTTTCCCTCACCTTGGAAGGCTTTTCATTTCTACAATAATTTTAATTAGGGGAGGGTAGGGTAAAACGGTATTTTTCGATTGAAAAACAGTGATTCCTCTTTGTAATGAGCTTAGACTGATGACTGAGTTCAATTGATAAATCTGTTTCTGAGTTATGAATATTTTTAAAATAGTCAAAAGTGTCCATTTTACCCTACCCTCCCCTATTGCTATTTAATTATGAATGAAACACATTTTTCATCACGCTGTGACGAAAAGTGAACTTTTCGGCACGCTCCGCGTGCCTAAAAGTCCAATTTCCGCCACATTGTGATGAAAAATATTGTTCGTAACTCGTGAAAAAATGTTTTTTAGCTCGTGGGATTATATCACTCGCCTTCGGCTCGTGATATAAACCTCCCACTCGCCAAAAAACACTTTTTTGCACTCGTTACGAAATATACTATTTTCTTAGCGTATGTTACGTTTTTCATGAATCCATATTTTGAACTCAATTTAGGTGGAGATGATACGATCAAGGGGGTCCATGGTTAAAAAATTTCGTCAAAACAACTTGATGACAAAAAAAACTTATCTGGAACTTTGGAAACTTGGAAAAACTCCAGGAAAATAATGCAAACAACGCAAAAATAGAACATTAATAACGCCTTAATGGATATTTGTGAACGAAAACATCAAATTTAAGAAAAAAAAAAGTACAATATTAAATTCATCAATATTGTATCTAGAGTAAACAACATTGAGTCTCGATAACAATTTGACGGAAATTCATAATGAGAAAATAAAGGACACAACTATTCATATCCACAATACGAGAAAATATAACAAATGATCAGTAATTTAAAGCACAACATTCGAAGTAATCTCTCAAATATTTTAGAGTGGTACATTTAGCTTCATAACTGGAAGGTTTTATTGAGCGAAGTTCAATTTCACTGAAGTTGAATAAACATTCGTTTCCAAAGTTGATTTAACCAGGTTTTTTAAACGAAGTTTTTTAGACGTGCTTTCGATTCGATTCATGTATTATACATACAAATAACAAATGATTTGAGATGAGTTTTTACTTAAAACTTATCTGGAACTTTGGAAACTTGGAAAAACTCCAGGAAAATAATGCAAAGAACGCAAAAATAGAGCATTAATAACGCCTTAATGAATATTTGCGAACGAAAATATCAAATTTAAGAAAAAACAAAAAGTACAATATTAAATTCATCAATATTGTATCTAGAGTAAACAACATTGAGTCTCGATAACAATTTGACGGAAATTCATAATGAGAAAATAAAGGACACAACTATTCATATCCACAATACGAGAAAATATAACAAATGATCAGTAATTTAAAGCACAACATTCGAAGTAATCTCTCAAATATTTTAGAGTGGTACATTTAGCTTCATAACTGGAAGGTTTTATTGAGCGAAGTTCAATTTCACTAAAGTTGAATAAACATTCGTTTCCAAAGTTGATTTAACCAGGTTTTTTAAACGAAGTTTTTTAGACGTGCTTTCGATTCGATTCATGTATTATACATACAAATAACAAATGATTTGAGATGAGTTTTTACTTAAAACTTATCTGGAACTTTGGAAACTTGGAAAAACTCCAGGAAAATAATGCAAAGAACGCAAAAATAGAGCATTAATAACGCCTTAATGAATATTTGCGAACGAAAATATCAAATTTAAGAAAAAACAAAAAGTACAATATTAAATTCATCAATATTGTATCTAGAGTAAACAACATTGAGTCTCGATAACAATTTGACGGAAATTCATAATGAGAAAATAAAGGACACAACTATTCATATCCACAATACGAGAAAATATAACAAATGATCAGTAATTTAAAGCACAACATTCGAAGTAATCTCTCAAATATTTTAGAGTGGTACATTTAGCTTCATAACTGGAAGGTTTTATTGAGCGAAGTTCAATTTCACTAAAGTTGAATAAACATTCGTTTCCAAAGTTGATTTAACCAGGTTTTTTAAACGAAGTTTTTTAGACGTGCTTTCGATTCGATTCATGTATTATACATACAAATAACAAATGATTTGAGATGAGTTTTTACTTAAAACTTATCTGGAACTTTGGAAACTTGGAAAAACTCCAGGAAAATAATGCAAAGAACGCAAAAATAGAGCATTAATAACGCCTTAATGAATATTTGCGAACGAAAATATCAAATTTAAGAAAAAACAAAAAGTACAATATTAAATTCATCAATATTGTATCTAGAGTAAACAACATTGAGTCTCGATAACAATTTGACGGAAATTCATAATGAGAAAATAAAGGACACAACTATTCATATCCACAATACGAGAAAATATAACAAATGATTTTTAGCTCGTGGGATTATATCACTCGCCTTCGGCTCGTGATATAAACCTCCCACTCGCCAAAAAACACTTTTTTGCACTCGTTACGAAATATACTATTTCCAATTACTTTTTGTTTGTTCATATATAAATAAAACGGTGGTGATTTTTTGCTACCGCATGTGCCTATAGTTCGTGCAGAACCTAGTGATTTTTTGTCCTCATATTTGAAATCCGTGTCCTTCAACCAACTGTATCGCGGTGTCAAGTCAATGCGCACGAGACGCACGCGTACCGCCAGAGAAGCATTTTTTTTACTATCATGGTGGATAGTTAACCGGATAAAAAGTGTATAAATGATGAGTGACGAACTTATTTCTGTCAAATAGTTGTTAAATTAGTCTAGGCCCGAGAAGTTTATTTATTTTAATATTAAGAATAATATTAAAGTACTTAGATTTAGGCCAAGGGCATCCACAAGCGAATCAACCCGGATAAATATAGATCTAACCCGCATCGATGTAATTATTAACGAAAAACTAGTCTATTAGCGGGAGATAATTAAAAGTCTGTGTTTAGATTTTTTTTCTCGCTGAGATTTTCTCATTTTAACGCTCAACCATGACACGAATCAATCTGGAGGTGAAGTATTTGACGCAGGAACACCTCACGGGTTTCGAGAATTATAAGGTAATTCCTCGTATATTTTTTTACTTCATCATTCATTCGATTGGACTCCAGTAAAATCGCTGTAATCGCTGTGAATGGAGGTATTGATGCTCTCGAGGTCACGGCAGATTGTTTTGTATCGCTCGTTTGGTTTGAAGTATCGGTGAGATACACGATATATGACTACTGCCTATTTTTCATGACTTCCTGATAACGCAGGGCTCAGAGAATCGTTAAAGACAGTTATCAATGCAGGTGACAATTCAACTTACGCAAACCTTGTTGTTGCTGGATGTATGGGAGACCGGGTCGCTGATAAAGCCGCACATGCACTATTTTTCATTTTTCGAATAATTAAATATAGGTCTGCAAATGGAACTTTGTTAAACAGGAATTTATTTAGTATTTCATTTATTTGTTTATTGAAACACGAATCCAGCAGCCGATGCCACGTGAATAATAGGATTCAAAATATAGAGATAAATATCCACGGCTAGATGAATATATTAAAAATAGTATTCTTGTATGAGGCATTCATGTTAATTTTTAAAAAATTCTAATCATTATCGCACTGGATGCCAGAATTCAAAACAAAATTATAACTCATTTTTTTGTCGTAAAACGGGAGAAGTCGCAGACCCTTAGAGTCAAGAGGGCCATGAGATTGACGAGAAACGGTTGAATTTCTTATTTTTCATTCTTAGAATAATGAAAAATAGTTTCTCCAATGCAACCTTACGAAACAGGAATTTATGAGCACCTCGTGTTAATTTACGTTCACTCAAGCGATCCTCGTAACAGACATCAGAATGCAAAATGACATTCAAGACTTTTTTGTCTCAAGATGAGAGACTCCTCCCCCGTTGAGGGTCACGACGGTCATGAAATGTTGCAAAACGATTGGAGAAACCCTTAATCTCATTATTTCTCTACAGTACAGCTGCTTGGACACAAGTCCCCTGAGCATCTACATAATGCACCCATTTTGGAACAAAGTGGTCGAGGTGAGTATCCCCAGGAAAAACCCCACACTGAGAGAAAAACGACAAAGTTCTCGAACAAGTCTTACTTGTGCCAAGAAAATAGTTTTTTGAAAATTATCAAAAAAGGATTTTTTGTCCCAAACTTGCAGAGAGTGCGCTGGAATGAAAAATTTTTGTCGCAAAAATAGATTTAGGGTAAGCCACCCAGTAGATGGACACTGCCCTATAGATGGACAAGCTACTTTTGGATAGGAAATTACGCAAAAAAATGCTGAAATGCAAATTGTTGCTTTGAATTTTCACTAACTTGTGGTTCTTAACCCCTGAATGGCGAATTTTTTTTCGATCATTTTTTTTTCAAGTGCTAAAAAACCAAACGTCCATCTACTGGGCAGTTTACCGTAGTAGTTCAAAAAAATTACATTCTCTGGGTAGTCGGACAAAATCTCCCGGACAAAATCTCCCTGAAAAAAATTTCCCCGGACAATTGCTTTTTGCGAAATTTCCTCGAAAAAAATTCCTTTCAACGAGTCTTCTGAGGGGTAAATTTTCCGCAAATAACAATCCGTATGAATTTAATTCTTTTGTAATTTCATTGAGGCTAAAGACTCGATAATTTCATGTGTTCTATTGTGCTATTCAGTAATAAAAACCCCTTTAATTGAGCATTATCGTTATATTTATTTTGGCCGGATCCGGTTTCCTAATCGCAAATTCCTTTTTCAAAGAGATTTTGTCCGGGGAAAAACTGTCCTAGAATCCATTCTCTGGACACGCAAGAAATGTCATTTCTAGCACTACTCCCTCGTTATTCGATACTCCCATACGTATATTGCTCCCGAAAAATCTTTGTTCTATGCGAAACAAGNTTTGTCGCAAAAATAGATTTAGGGTAAGCCACCCAGTAGATGGACACTGCCCTATAGATGGACAAGCTACTTTTGGATAGGAAATTACGCAAAAAAATGCTGAAATGCAAATTGTTGCTTTGAATTTTCACTAACTTGTGGTTCTTAACCCCTGAATGGCGAATTTTTTTTCGATCATTTTTTTTTCAAGTGCTAAAAAACCAAACGTCCATCTACTGGGCAGTTTACCGTAGTAGTTCAAAAAAATTACATTCTCTGGGTAGTCGGACAAAATCTCCCGGACAAAATCTCCCTGAAAAAAATTTCCCCGGACAATTGCTTTTTGCGAAATTTCCTCGAAAAAAATTCCTTTCAACGAGTCTTCTGAGGGGTAAATTTTCCGCAAATAACAATCCGTATGAATTTAATTCTTTTGTAATTTCATTGAGGCTAAAGACTCGATAATTTCATGTGTTCTATTGTGCTATTCAGTAATAAAAACCCCTTTAATTGAGCATTATCGTTATATTTATTTTGGCCGGATCCGGTTTCCTAATCGCAAATTCCTTTTTCAAAGAGATTTTGTCCGGGGAAAAACTGTCCTAGAATCCATTCTCTGGACACGCAAGAAATGTCATTTCTAGCACTACTCCCTCGTTATTCGATACTCCCATACGTATATTGCTCCCGAAAAATCTTTGTTCTATGCGAAACAAGAGATAGTATTTTTTCTTTTCGGCTGTCTAATAATCGCAGACAAATGAACCCTTAAATGAAACAATAATAATGCTATGATAGCAATCTTGTAACTTAGGGAGAAAATATTAGTTGATAAATTTTCCTCTACGAGATATTTTCATCCGCCTCTTGAGCCAAATATTTCGTTGCTGTCAAAAGCAGAGCAATTATTCATGTCTGAGACATTAAATTCGAACCAAACAAATTCTTTTTGTCAATTTTCAACTAGCGATTTTGTCGGCCCAAACAAGACTATTTTGACAACATGTTTGTGTTCCTCTAAGTGGCACCGAAATAATCACCACCTCAAACTCAAACCCCTTCCCCCTTACAGTTCTGTCCAAAATGGGTGGCGCCCAACGTCCTGACCTTCTCCGGATTCCTCTTCACAGTCTTCAACTTCCTGATGTTCTCCTACTACGACTACTACTTCTACGCGTCGAGCGACGATCACCCCGAGCCGCCCATCCCAACCTGGATCTACGCGTTTGGGGCCTTCAATATCTTCATGGCATACACCCTGGACGGAATAGACGGCAAGCAGGCGAGACGAACGCAGACATCGGGACCCCTCGGCGAGCTGTTCGATCACGGACTGGACAGTTGGACCGCAATGCTCATCACCGTCTGCATGTACTCAGTCTTCGGGCGAACCGAGCACAGTGTCTCACCCCTGAGAATGTACTTCATCCTCTGGAATGTCTTCATAAACTTCTACCTGAGCCACTGGGAGAAATACAACACAGGAGTGCTGTTCCTGCCCTGGGGCTACGACGTCTCGATGGTGGCGACAATTCTCGTCTTCCTCCTGACGTCCTTCGCGGGCCACGAGGTCTGGAAGTTCGATCTGCCCGGGGGAATGACTGCGGGAACTGTCTTCGAGGTCCTCCTCTACGCCAGTGCCCTAGTGTCCAACCTGCCCGTTGTCCTGTGGAACATCTACAAGTCCTACAGAGACAAGACTGGAAAGAATCGAACACTCGTCGAGGCCCTGAGACCACTCGTCTCCCTCGGGGTCTTCTTCACCATAACCACCTTCTGGGTGACCCACTCTCGCAGCGATATCATTGAGATGGACCCCAGGATCATCTTCTTCGCCAGTGGCACCATCTTCTCCAATATATCGTGCAGACTCATTGTCGCACAGATGAGCAACACTAGGTGCGAACTCGTCCCCTGGATACTACTTCCTGTGGGAGGGGCTGCTGTCTTCAGTTATGTCATGCCACAGCATGCTCTGGCCACTATGTACGTCGTTGCGCTCGCGTCACTGCTTGCGCATGTTCATTATGGCACTTGTGTGGTGAGTCATTTTCCAGGATTTTTCCGGCAAAATTCAGAGCGAAGTGGTAAAACGGTATAAGTCAATTTCGACTATTGACCAGTTTTCAATAAATATAGCTCGTGGGATTATATCACTCGCCTTCGGCTCGTGATATAAACCTCCCACTCGCCAAAAAACACTTTTTTGCACTCGTTACGAAATATACTATTTTCTTAGTGTATGTTACGTTTTTTATGAATCCATATTTTGAACTCAATTTAGATGGAGATGATACGATCGAGGGGGTCCATGGTTAAAAAATTTCGTCAAAACAACTTGATGACAAAAAAAAATTATCTGGAACTTTGGAAACTTGGAAAAACTCCAGGAAAATAATGCTAAGAACGCAAAAATAGAGCATTAATAACGCCTTAATGAATATTTGCGAACGAAAATATCAAATTTAAGAAAAAACAAAAAGTACAATCTTAAATTCATCAATATTGTATCTAGAGTAAACAACATTGAGTCTAGATAACAATTTGACGGAAATTTATAATGAGAAAATAAAGGACAACTATTCATATCCACAATACGAGAAAACATAACAAATGATCAGTAATTTAAAGCACAACATTCGAAGTAATCTCTCAAATATTTTAGAGTGGTACATTTAGCTTCATAACTAGAAGGTTTTATTGAGCGAAGTTCAATTTCACTAAAGTTGAATAAAAATTCGTTTCCAAAGTTTATTTAACCAGGTTTTTTAAACGAAGTTTTGTAGACGTGCTTTCGATTCGATTCATGTATTATACATACAAATGGCAAATTATTTGAGATGAGTTTTTACTCGAATTGATGTCTCAACTGCAAAAAAAAAGGGAAAACAAACATTTCTCCCCCCTTTTAGAAAACATTATGAAAAATCTGGCCAGTAATTTTCACTCAGAATTACTCTCCCCCCCTGAATACTAAAAAAATCCTCCATTATCCCTCAATAGTTGAATGAAGAAGGTGCAACTGAATTTTTTGTCTTCTTGTCTTTGTCCACAGGTTCGTCAGATGTGCCACCACTTCCGCATAAAAACATTCCGTATACGAGAACACTCAGAATGACTACTTGCCGACGATGCATGTTAAAAACGAAGACGTCTTCCCTCATTCAATGGGGGAAGATTGACATAATGCACACGTGTTTCATCAATTATCAGTTTTACCGACGAGAGAATGATTCAATGTGTAAACAAAATTTATAAGAAAACAAAAAAATTCCCTGAGGGTCTGAACACTCAAAAAAATCTTTCCAAAGAGCCTTTCAATGCCCTCTGACCTCAGATTTGATCTCTTGTCTTGATTTCCAAAAGGTTTAGTTTTTTCCCCTTGATTTCGAGCATAATTTGGCATGAACTCAAACTCCTGATTTGACCCGTGTGTTAACATTCATTTGCAATTCAGCACTTCTTCGTTGTTACCATGCGTCGTCCCTCGGACGATTAGTTAATAATTTTATATTTATGGTTGCGTGCCATTACCACAGACACTTTTACCAATCGAAGGTCGTGTTTTTTGTTTATGATTTGCCGAGTCAAGAGGGCGGAAGTCTAGCAAAAAACTACTCAAGAATTTTATTCTGTAATTATTTGTAATCAAAGGAAAGCCTGTGTTTTGTCCTGGTGATTCTTGTAAATATTATTATTATATATTTCCATCGATGATTTTTGAGGTGAAAGAATCATAATTGCCCCCACGATATTCTACTGATGCATGATTTCAGTGGCGAAGTGGTAAAACGGTGCAGATCAATTTGACTATTGACCAGTTTTCAATGAATATCTCGGAATCTAAGGGAGATAGCCAAATTTTTGTTATAACCTTTTTTGTGGAGGCGATTGAGTGCTACAACAAATGTTATGACGAAAATTTCGCTATCTCCCTTAGATTCGGAAATATTCCTCAAAAACTCAACTGGGAGATGAGTCGACTTGAATCCTTTTAGCAGTTCGCTACTGATTTGATCGGAATATTAAATTTCAAGAATTGAATCGACTGTTTGATATGCGTTTTCAACATGATCTGTAATTTGTGAGGACAAATTTTAATGTAAGGAGCGATGTACAAACTAGTCCCCACCCCCAAATCTACGGTTTAAGTGACGAAGCACCTTGTAGCTTTCCGAGAGTTAATGTGTATGTAAATATCAAGTGTATGTACATCAATTGCATTTATCTGACATACTCTGGACGAATGATGATGTAACCAATCAAACACTGAACACTTTTTGTGAGGAAATTTGTTCCCCCGAAAATATATGTTGCATTCTGTATGTGAATGATTTCAGAATCAAAAAATACTTGATGAAATAATTTAGTATTTTATTACTAGTTACTACAACCCTATTGTCCATGCAATTTCTGCATAAACTCAGCTTTTATCTTCTTTCGTTCATCGGGAGGAGGTAACTCTGGTTCAATCCCTTCAGATCTCCTCGTCCACTTGACGATATTCTGAATTGAGAAAATCATAAAGTTCATCAGGTCAATGGTAGGTCTCATGGTACACTGAGAGAAAATCGACAAAGTTCTCAAACAAGTTTTACTTGCGCCAAGAAAATAGTTTTTTGAAAATTATCAACGAAAGTTTTTTTTGTGCCCGAGTGAAAAATTTTTGTCGCAAAAATAGATTTAGTAGTTCAAAAAAAATTGCATTCTCTGTACACGCAAGAAATGTCATTTCTAACACTACTCCTTCGTTATTCGATACTCCCATACGCACTTTGCTCCCGAAAAATCTTTGTTTTGTGCGAAACAAGGGATAGTATAATAGTTTTTCGTTTCGGCTGTCTAATAATCACAGACAACAAATGAACCCTTAAATGAAGCAATAATAGTGATATGATAGCAATCTTGTAATTTAAGGATAAAATATTAGTTGATAAATTTTCCTCTATGAGATATTTTCATCCTGAAAAGGCACCGTCTGGTGTGAATAATCCGCCTCTTGAGCCAAATATTTCGTTGCTGTCGACAGCAGAACAATCATTCATGTTTGAGACTTTCAAATTCGAACCAAACAAATTCTTTTTTGCCAATTTTCAACTAGCGATTTTGTTGGCCCAAACAAAATTTGTTTGACGTGTTTGTTTTTCTCTCACTGTAGTAGAACTGGAAATAGAGGAATTCTCACCCAAAACTGTTTGCACCGTTTGAAGTTCTCAAAGTACAAAAAACAGGGCTTACGATCGTAAACATTTTTCTCTAGACACTTCCGCGTTCCTTCGGACTCCTAAACAGTCCAAGACACGCAATTTTGGCCCAGCTAATATTTGAAGATATTGAGAAACGATCAATTGTGGGAATTACCTCAAAACATGGATTCTTCAGGATAGCCTCTTGCCTCACAGTCTCTATTTCAGATTTGTTTTTCGCCATTGTGATGGACAACTTCCATCAGATTTGTAGGTTATGTTTACATTAACGAGGGGGACCACTTGGGACCACTACCACTGGTCCTCAATTCACAACTTCTTTTCATCTCACAGTTATTGAAAACGAAAATGAGTTCATTACGTAATGGTCGATGTTATTCATTCCCTTATTATTTAATCAATTGGGTGTGAATCATGCGATTTTTCTCATTAAGCTTCCTCAAACCCTTGACGAGTCATAGTATGCAGTCAGGATAAAGACTAATAAAATTAATGACCCTCACCTTTCTTATATTGATTAATATCATGGAGATGAGAAAAACGATTAACTGTAACTAGAGGGTTTTTTTTAACAACCTGAGACGAGCCTGATGACGCTAAAATAATTTAGCGAAACGTCGCACTATGAGAATTTAATCAACGTCGTAATTATTTCTCCAATATCCCCTGGCCTTTCCTCTATTGATTAATATCATAAAGATTAGAACAATGATCAACTGCAACCAGGTTTTTTTAACAACCTGAGACGAGCCTGATGAAGCTAAAATAATTTAGCGAAACGTTGCACAATGACAATTTAATCAACGTCGTAATTATTTCTCCAATATCCCCTGCCCTTTCTTATATTGATTAATATCAGAAAGATTAGAACAATGATCAACTGCAACCAGGTTTTTTTAACAACCTGAGACGAGCCTGATGAAGGTAAAATAATTTAGCGAAACGTCGCACTATGACAATTTAATCAACGTCGTAATTATTTCTCCAATATCCCCTGCCCTTTCTTACATTATATTTATTACATCAATAAAATTAATGTCGACATAAAATCCAAAAATGGAATACCATAATTGGCATTGAAGATAATCTTACTGAATGACATATTCGTAAAATGTGGAAAGTTGTTGAGTAGAGTGACTGTTCAGCAGCAGTTGCAGATTGTAACCCTGATAGATAAAACCCAGAGTTAACTCTGGATTAACTCTGGGTTTGTGGAAAAAACCCAGCGAAGAAAGAAACTCTGAGAAATTTCCATGCACTCTGTTGGGAAATTTCCATGAACAAAGTTAGCCCTGGGTTTACTCTGGGTTTGACTCCTCAGGGAAGCCACTGGACACACTAGAAAGAAATGCTGAATGGAATCCAAATCACGGAGAGCCCACTAATTGCATATTTTCCCAGGCGCAAAAAAAGTTAACACCAATGTTGATTAAATAACTCTTGTCGACGATTCTAAAAAACTAAAATCTTCATTTCCCAGCCCCCCTTACACATGCGAAGACTCATCCCCACTGTCAGCAGCCATGGCCTCCCTGTTCTCGTACGCCCAGAACCCATGGAACTCGATCAAAATACTGATCATGGTGTCCCCCTGTCCGCAGCTGAGCAGATCCTGCAGGGTGATCTTGCAGGAGTCCGCTGGCTTCACCATATCAAAAATCTCGTCCTTGACATCCTCGAAGCTCACCGGCTCCTGGCCGTGCATCTTCATCTGCTCCTGAATGGCCCTGAAAAAGTAATTCAGGCAGAAAGTGTCGAGATACCCCTTATTATTGATATCAAGAATCCTGAAGAGGTAGTGCAGACTCTGCGGCTCGTGTCGGTTCTCCAGGGCCAGGACGAAGTCCAGATAGGTCTTGTAGTCCATCTCGCCCTCGTAGGTCAGGCACTCCTGGAAGACCCTCTCCAGGAAGACCCCGGTGAGGGTGCCGGTGCCGTAGCCCGACAGCTCCTCCTTGTTCAGCATTCCATTGTGATCCCTGTCCAAATTGAGATATTGTCCGTAAACTTTGAGGGCCGAGGGGGCGGAGAACCAATTGGCCTCCTGGAGGTCCTTGGGGAGGTCCTCGTCCCTCAGCTCCAGGAGGTCGTCCAGGAAGCTGCAGGCCAGGATGTCCTGGATCCTGACCCTGCCCGTCCGCAGGGGATCCAGGAAGAACAGGAACTTCCTCACAGCTGTGCAGACGTAGAACGAATGGAAGGACTTCTCCAAGCCCTCCAGCTGTGGCAGTGTCGGTATCAACTCCAGAATGTAATTCTCCAGGTCTGACTCCCTCAGGTATCCCTGGCCCGTCACGTCGTACAGCGACAGCCCTATTCGCGTCTGGTGCAGCCAGACTTTCCTCATGACGTAGTTGAAGAGCGCCATTATGCTGATCCTCCCGTGGGGATCGCCCTGCTGCAACTTTGCGAAGACAACGGCTGTGAAGTACGGAGAACACTTGGCCCCCGCCAGCTTGCCCACCTGCTTGAAGTCCTCGTAGTTTATCAGCTGCTCGTCCCCGGAGAGGGGCGGACTGTGGTGCTTGTCCAGGAGGACCCACAGCGCCTTCAGCTCGTTGTTGTCCAGGAGCTGGCGCGAACGACGCTGGAGGAACAGCGCTCGGGTCTCCTCGCGCAGCTTCTGCGGCAGAATCTCGTCCTCCTTGGGGAGCTTGAAGTAGAACTTTGGGATCACTTTGTACGTCTGGTTTATGGCCGAGGCCTTTGTGCCCTTCCAGCTTTCGTACAGCGCCTGGAAGTGCTCGCCTTCCTGCCTCTCCCTGGTTTCGGCGTCCTTTGCGTCTGTGGAGTTCCATTTTTTTTATGGGGTGTCAGGCTTTGTTTAGGGGGATTGTTGGGCATTTTTTAGGAGAAGGTCAGACTGGGGCTGGCAATTTATTGATTTAAGGCCCTTGTGGATTATCTTTTTAGTGTGATGTTGGTTGTTTTTTTCATTTTGGTAATTTGAAGTCATCTCCAATTGCTGTTCAGTTTTACGTAGCTATGGAGTCTCCAAAAATTATGATTGTATAATAAAAAAAACGTTGAAAAAAGATGATTTTCAAAGAGCGTTTTTTAAGGATAGTGGGAAATAAACCCAATAGGGAGAAATTGAGAAAATTGGAAAATGGAAATTAATAACTTGATGGGTGTAGTGGCTGTTGGGTCGTCATTTGTCACAGTAGGAAGTGGCTGTCAGATCGTTAGTTATCGTGATAAATTATCCATTCATTATTTCCTCTCTATTGGACTTATTTTTTAATTTTTATTAAAAACGCTATTTGAAAATGTTCAGTTTTTTTCCCTCTTTTTTGTTATTGTACAATCATAATTTTAGGGATTTCTACGTGTTGTAAAATCCAATAGCAATTGTGATATTTTACATTATGAAGAGGGAAAAACAATCGAGATAACGTTCGACAGATAATCCACCCGGGCCGGAAGGCCCGGGATTATGATTAATCGCATAATTTTTGGGTTGTAAAATACTATTGTTGAATAGTATAAATATAAATAAAAGAGATTATTAAAAATAAATAAAATTTAAAATTAAAATATGAATAAAATTTAAAAATAAATAAAATTATTATTAAAAATGAATAAAAGAAATTATTAATTAATAAAAATTGAATAAAAATAATTATGCACTCCTCTTTCATTTAATTTATCGACAATGCCATTTTTTAGAAAGATGTTCAGTGTCATAATAGCCAAATACGTGAGCAATGATTATGAAAAAATTGTACCCCTCGAATATTTTGGGGTAGCATTTAATTACCATTTGGCTCAGCTGATTTTCTGAGCAGTGCTGCAAGCTCCATTTTTAAAAAGTTGTATTAAAAATATTTATCATGCCCTTATGGCTGAAAAGTCACTCCCAATTTGACACAATTTGACAAATTCCACTATGAATTTGTGGAATTTTTGACATTGTTGAGCGGTAAATCATGAAAAATGTTATGCCACTGTGGAAGGGTGCGAATGGAGTGACAACAAAACTTCAGAACCTAGGCCTAGAGACATTTTTCGAATATTACCAACTTAAAATTGAAGTTAATCTAGGGTGTTTTGCGATTCCCTGGGGCCGAGGTGGGGTTTGAAATGTGGCGGGAAGGATTGTGGTCGCTATGGGGACCAAATAATTTGTGCAAACGAGGAAATTGGTCATCAGAGAGTTATCAGAGAAATGGGTGAGGAAAGTGTTGAGTTTATTCTGCCCCCTTGGGAGGCAGAAGCTTTGATAGAGAATCTGAAGCCTTCGAGCCTCGATGACATCGGCACGAAGAAGTGGTTTGAATATCATCAGAAACTCATGCTTCTGCATCAGCAGAGTATTCTGGAGATCAGTACATTGAGGGAGGAGGCGATTAAAGAGTGCTTCGTTAATTTCCAAAAGGTGATTTTTCGAAAAAAAATTTCGCGAAATTTCGATTCATGCAAAATCCAATGCAGTTCAAAAGATCAATTTTTTTTTAAAATCCAGAATAATTGGAAAATTGAAATGTTTTAAATCGCAATATTGAAATATTTATTGAAAATTCTTGAGGAAAAAACTAGAATTGAAGAGTTTCAATCTTTTCTGGAAATTTTATTTTAGGAAATATTTGATGAAATCTAGAAATTTATTTCATGAAAAGAATTCCATTCTTTGCAGATTCCAATTTTAATTTACGAAGCAATACAAATATCCCTGTGGAAAGAAAAAGTGTTTCCAGTAATGATCGGAGCTAATGGTGAGCCCTCCAACACCTTCATGTTGTACAGTGTTTTCTACCACGAGAGCATAGTTGTATCCCTCCTGGAGAACGTTCTGTTCCACTCCGACAGCGTGGAGACCCTGGAGGACTCGGCTCTCGACCTGATCGACTATTCCGTCGGCAATCTGACGGATTTAATTTTTTCGAAAGAAGAATTCCAGGCTTCCCTCCCCGAAAACGCGACATGTCTGGAGGAACTAATTTTCAAACGCGGGGAGATGGAGTTCGACATCGCGATGAAGTCAATCTCGATTCTCGCGTATCTAGCGGGATTCGCGGAGAGCCTTCCACTGGCTGTCGTCAAACGACTACTGAGCACTCACGATGTGCCTTATTTAATGACGATGTTGATTGAGAACAGGCCCTGGAGAAAAATAAATGGAGAGGGAGTTGACATGATTTACATGTCCAGTTGGGAGAAAGTTAAGGAAAATGAGAGGGACAAAATTTGTAAGATTGAGGGACAGATTTGGATCGGATTGAGGGAACTTTTGTTGAATCCCAAGTGCGCACCGTATTATCCCATTAATGAATTCAGAATAGCGGAATTATCCAAGGTGAATATGATTTGCAATTTTAGACAGCTAGGGTAGCGCGGGGAGAGCTTTGTGCCATGAATTCTCAGCCAAAGGGGGCTGGAAAAATCTCAAAAGTGGCTTAAAAAATTTGTTCATTCTTTTAGAAAACGGATGAAGTGAGTTGGGGGTGATTTGAAGAGGATAAATAATTTTAAAAGATGTTTGAAAGCACGAGCTGGGGGCGCCGCCATCTTTGAAGTCCTTTTCGGCAAGATGGCGGCCCCACACGTGTTAACCATCTCGTACTTTTGAACATTTACTGAAATTATTTATTCTCTGGAGATCACCTTCAGCTCGTTTCATCGAGGTCCTAGGAAATGAGTCATTTTTTCAAGATATCCTTCGGATTTTTTTGCCATTTTTGGCTGAGAATTCATGGCGTAAGGATTTCCCTGCATTTCAGTAGTTTTTTTTACTCTCGAGGCTTTTTAATTTATATTTTATTGCTTGCTTCTTTCGAAAAATGAAGAGTTGTAGAAAAAATGTCAAGAGGGTTGATATGAGGAAATTGTCAAGTAAAAATGGACTTTTTCCATTAGTTGCAAAAACATTTGCATGAACGGGTCCTGGACCAAATAGCCCCTCTGATAGACTTGAGACGATGGCTGGGTTACCTGACCCTATCACCACCTGGGAACACCTCGAACCCCCCAATCTCGGTGGAAATAATCCCCCAGATTCGGTCCTCTATTCTCGAAAAGTACAAAAAGAAATGGAAGAGGATTGCCAAATCTCAGGGAGAGCTGTTCTACAATAATGACATCAATCATGTCAAGAGTTACGCTGAGATACTCAGTGCAGCATATGACGTAGATAAAATGGTCGCCACTGTCGCTAGACACTGCGCCTTGTGCTCTGAAATTGCTACCAAAAAATGCTCAAAATGCAAAAGTATTTGGTACTGCGGAAGGTAAATGCATTCAATTTTTTCCAACCCTCAATTATTGATAATTTTCGAAATTTTTTGCAGGGAATGTCAAGTCAAAGATTGGCCTGGACACAAGAACAAATGCGAGGAAATTTCGAAATCCGAAGGAAATATGGATTAAATATCGATATATTTATGTAAATCTCAATAAAAGAATTAATTTCCTGCAAAATTGAATGTTTTTCATGAATTTTCGAAAACTTCTGAAGCATTTAAAATTTTAAAGGAAATTGTGGAATTGGAATATTCTCTAACAATTTCTGGCGAAGACTTTTGACTTCACGATAAGAATTAATAAAAAATGAAATGCAAACGGAAATTATGGTCGATATTTTATTAAAATTACTTAGTGTACAGCATTTTGTTTGAGGTACTCCATGAGGACATCCTTGGCTGGAGTTTCCTCACCGAAATCCTGAAAAAATGAAAGAAAAAATATTGAGGACTCGTTTCTTGGCTAAAAAAATAGTATAGTTGGTTTATTAAGAAAGTCAGCCAGGCGTGTATCAGCACGGTTTTTTAATATTTGGGTTCGCCTCAGAAGAGGGAGCCTAGGTTTTCATCATTTTAATTAATGAAAAATTTATTGAATGGATAGATTGTTGAAATTGATTATTATTCACGGAAATTTAAGACTTTATTTTTGTTTTCTCACCTTGATAACGACGCACGAGCATCCAACGACTTTCCGTGCTTTTCCTGCGTTATCAATTTTGCAGAGTCCTGCCCATTCGCCAAGCTTCTTGTTGTTATCGACTTTGATGAGAGGGATCTGGTGCTCGTTGCACAAGGCCGTCACCAGTTTCTTGTACATCGGTTCGTCACAGTTCTCAGCGAGGATGCACAGCATAGCTTGCCTCCTAGATACAACAGGAGAACCCAATTGAATTCCCAATTCTCAATTCCAACAATTTAATGTTAAATTGTGAAGACCAAACAGACTGAGAGACTGTGAGCCTTTTTCACTCGTGAATAAATGGGGATTGGCAGAGTGAAATTCCCCGATTTTTTTCTCATTTTGAAGATATTTTTTCAAACTTTAAAATGAGCCTTGACTCATTCAAATCGTATCGTTTAATCAGGAGATATTAAGCATGTAATATTTATTTTCTTCACAAACCAATTCTGCTCATGTGACTCTAGTTTTTGCTGAATATCTCGCATTCTAAAGGAGACAGTGAAATTTTTATGGGAACATTTTTTGTAGAGTGAAATGAGGGCTACAAAAAAGGTCTTACGAAAAATTTTGGTTTCTGGCTTAACTTTCAAGATATTTCGCAAAAATTGGCTTCCTATCCATTTTAAGAAAATTTTTGTTCTAACGTTTATTTACGGTTTTGAATATATTACCACAGAAAATGTAATGGTCAAACTCACTTGTCGAGTGCCTTGGCGGCTTCATGGAGACCATGTACCACCCCATCATGAATAAGTGCATTTTTCAGGACTTCTTGGAGGGCCTGGTTCACGTCCATGGGGCCTCCGCCTGCTGCCGCAGAGGGAACGTCATCGCTGCAACAAAAAAAAAAATATATATTTCAACAACTGATGATAACAAAAATATGACAATCGACCCTTGGGGTCAACAATGATATAGGTTAACCGGGATTTAAAACCATTTTTGCTCCAACGGCACTAATAATTCAGTAGGTGAACAATAACGAAATAGATTTCAATTAAATTGACGACGAATACAATGTAAAGGTATCGAATGAAGGGAAGAACATGGGAAATAAGACATTTGGATAGTACTCACGTTTCCACGTCGGACATGGTTCTGATGGATTTGGCAGCTGAAATAAATAAACCACATTATTACTCGCACGCACAAGGCACGAATTCACATTTTTATTGCAAAAAATATCCAATGATGGCATTGATAATTATGGATTATATCGCCGATATGCTTCGAGCGTGCTGCGTATACCTTTTCTGATGGGGAAAGAGAAATGGCGCTGGAACCAACTCGCGGCATATTGATGCTCCCTCACACTAATTGGTCTGGAAGTGTCACGTGGCGACATCTGCCGATCTCTTTTGGAATTTTTTCCATCGACAGTGGGTGCATGCTACCATCAGAGCGGAGGCTTGATATGATTTTTTTCCGCTGAAAATTACTGTTTCATAATTGAAGAAGCAAATGGATAAATAAAAAAAAAATTGACAATAATTTTTTTTTCTGGATTTAAATTTATTTCGAATGATTTTTTTTGAATTCATGTAAAATAATTTTTTAATTGTAGGAAAATATTCATTTTGGTATGTGGGAAGGTAATAATTAATAAATTTAATTGCTCACTCACTCATCTTCCCAAAAAATGTCAAATCTCCAAGAAATCTATTATAAAATCCTGTTTTACCGACCTGGGGCTCTTATCCATCGAGTGAAAACCCGGAAGTCGGATTCAAAAAGTTCAGATCGACACGGGTGATTATCAATGCGAGGGATCAAGCAATTAATTAATGCCCATGTGCGTAATGAATACTTACCGTTACACGCAAGGATTCACAGGATTTAACTATCCCACCGAGACGACCCGACCTCTCGTTAACAAATTCAAACGGTACTATTACATCTATTCTTCAAAATCAATTACGTCTCGTGCGAGAATAGCAAAAATTTACGCCTGCATTGATCGCCTGGGTTCAATTGCTCCGAAGGATAAGATAAGATTTAATAAATTGTGTGAAAATCCCGGTGGAATGAAATTGTCTCATTAACGAACGGTACAGGACCGAGTGGAAGGGGTTGAGTACCTCATTGCCGTTGGTTCGCGATGACGCCATGCAGATGTTCGCCGCGGAGTGCTGAAGAGACCGGAGCCCGCGCTGATTTCAGTTATCGCTGGAACTCTGTGTGGACCAGACACCGCGGAAAATCCATCGGTCAAACCTAGAGAGAGGTAAGTCATCTGTCAACAATTACATCATTTGCCATTCCCAGTATTCGATAATGACACCTATTGAAACTCGCGGATCAATTTTTTGTCCCGGAATTCTTGGTTTCGTGGATAATCAACTTGTCCTTGAAAACAGAAAGCAATTATAGTATTTACGGCGCAGCGCGACGAAGATCGCCGTCAGTTTCTTCACACACTGATTCCCCCCCGCGAAAATTTCGTTACAATTAGCCCCTTTTAATCGCGAAATATGTGCCGAAAGTACGTTGAACCAGTTGTAGCTGTAAATATCTGGAACAATTGTCTCCGTCGTCATGGGCAATTCTCTCGTGCACATTTGTTCCGCCTTAAATTCGCGACCAACTCCTCCGTTCGATTTCGTCTGCAATACCGTGTCGTTGACATTGCACCAGCATCATCACGTCAAATCGCCCTCATATCGCGAACTCATTTGACATTTGATTGCGTAAATTGATTACTCGCCGCTGGAAAGCCGAGCGTACAATTTGAAAAGGTGTCACTCCGTGGGACCGGAACCCGATAACCGGAACCTCGGGCTGGTCAGTTTGTTACACATAAAGGCGTACGGAAACGCCTGGGGGAATTACACTTGCCACGGCAATTCGTCGGTCCACGCAATTTGTAGCGCCACAGGATCAACGCCAACGCACACCGGATGAGTCTCCATTGTTCATTTCGGTGAAAGAACTGAAATTACCGTGACATTTATGCACCACTGATTGCACCGAATGTCAACAATGTCAAGCTTCTCACTCAATTCAACACCTGTTTTAATTATCTCCTTTGTTGTAGGGACATAAAAATGTTCGTTGTTCCGTTCTTCGGCCTGATATCATTGACATTGGGAGCTGGTGTTGGCACAGCGTGGGATGTGTCCCCGGGTCAGCAAGGGTATACGACGCATCCAACGTGGCCGAGGGTCGACCTGTCGGCGTTTGAGATCAGAAGTGTCAGCGGGATTGGTAAACTGACCAGCCGAGATGAAGCTTCGGGACAAGCGAACTCCAAACGAGAAGCTAAAGAGGTCGAGGACATGGAGACCGACTACGTCCCCGAGGTCCTGTTCGACCACCCTGTCTTCAAGGGCATCTTCAAGAAGCCCAGAAACAATCCAGACGTCGAAATGCTGCCGGGACCATGGGAGAAGTCTAGGAAACCTGATCGCGTCGGCAGGAATCGTCAAGCTTGTCCAGAAAGCTTAGAAGAGGACTTGAACTCTGATGAGGTCGTCAGAGAGAGGCCCAGGGTGCGTCGGGAGGTTGAAGAGCCCTCCCTGGAGAAGGTCACGGGGACGAAGAACGTCAGAGAACCTAGACTCAACTCCCCGGAGTCGTGGTCGAAGCAGCCGTTGGCCGTTGAGTTCCGACATCGGACGAATTTGGAGGGCAACTCAGCTGAAGACGAGGATTCCAGATTGATGAGGCACCAGGCCCCGAGAACGGACTTCGTGACGGCGAACAGGAGGAGCTACGAAGGAAGAGAAGCTAGGGATCTCGCGATTGGCCGGGGCTACGAAGACGTGCCATACCGCAATTCTTTGAGAGACCGCGACCTGGATGTGGCTTATTCGAGGGGCTACTACTACCCAGATCACTTCAGAACGGAGCGGGACTACCTCATCCGCGGGGTTAACGATCCGGGCTTCTCAGCTGACAGGTACCGCATCGAGGATTACGACATGTACAGGAACCGACCAACGCCGAAACCTAAGAGGATCATCTACTACGCGACTTTGCCGGAAATTGTTCGCAAGCCGGTGGACACCAGACGCCCTTACGACTTCAGGCCTTACGACACCGTGGGGAGGGCCTCGATCCCCCCGATCAGGGATTCCGCGTACAGACGACTGCCCGGGATGCTGGACCTCAAGTACCAGTACAGGTATCCGTTTTTTATTATTATTATTTATTATATTAACCTACAGTGGGTTATTTACATTCACGTAAGATGTACGAAAGTTATAAAGGAAAATATCAGTCGCTGCAGTAACCTATTTGGTACAAATCTGTTTTAGGTCTATCGCTGTGGACACTAATACTTAGTTATCTTAAATTCTGATTTTACATTTTTTAATGAACTGGTGTATAATCTTGAGAGGTTCGAGATCTTTTGTCAGCAGGAATGCGGATATGGTGTACGGTCTAGGACACTTGTGCTTGATGAGTTTATCAATCATTAACTCTCTCTCTCTCTCTTGAGTAGAATATTCTGGACATTTCCAAGTAACGTGGCTGATGTCCTGGATCTCAGAACCACATCCGCATTTCTGATCATCCACTAAGCCTATTCTGTATAGGGACTTGTTCAGGTAGTAATGGTCGGCTCTAGCCCTGTTAACCCAGACCACCCGAGTCGAGGATCCAGTCCTAACAAGTCCTACTGAGTGCTACTTACGTCCCAAATCAGGATTAAGTAGGACTTAGGAGTACTTCAAGTATTGATGAAATACCCTAATTCTTGGAAGATCTGGAGGATACTTGGGTTGGTAGGTCTCCCTATTCCGCATACATTAGTCCACACGCAATACCCCCTTCCCGTGTGCACTTCTAGTGCGGTAAGGTTTTGCGGTGTTTTCTTGTTTTCGGGTATGAGAAATCCGAATCCGGTGGTATTTTTTATGTAAGTGCGTGCAATTAATAGTTATAAACAAATTAAGTGTTTTTTTTGATGATTTTTTTTATGGGAAACATTGTCCCATTTTTTTAATGGGAAACATTGGCAAATAGAAGAAAATGTTCATGACAAAAGTTGTTCCTTTTTGTGTAATAAATAATTATCATTTTTTAAAATCAAAATCCATCAATCCGTTGCTGAAATATGGTCCACCAGGTGGGCGCGGGAGGATGCGCGACGCGCGAAGATGGGTGGGACGCTCGACGTCCTCTGAGTGCTCATCAATCCGTCATTTTTCTCAGATAAAACGACCTCTACTCATGTATTGGTACATAGAAAGGAAAACAAAAACAGACAAAACACTAATACTCCAAGTATGAGAGATATTTATTTGGATTATTTCTGTGAATTTTCAATTCCAAGAAAATTCGGAGGGGACAGCTGCAAAAATATTCTTGTCTCTTCTTGTTTTTATCAACTGACGTTTAGAAAATACTCCGATAAATCAGTCTTCCTCCGATCCTCGTAAGAGAATGTTCGTCACATTTAAATACGTGATTTTTTTCAGAGTCTCTTCGGGCCGGAGTATTGAATTAACTAATTAACTATTGAGTTCTATCAGTCGGTGACAGGAAATTTATAATCATAAGTTATTGACGAGAAATAAATTCTGGATGACATTCATTCTTTGTGCAGTATTCACTTTAAATTCATGGTGTGAGTGTATTAAAAATGTCAGGTGGGCGTTCGTTTGTCATGTTT